TGAAAATTGGTGAAGACACAAAAACATTGAAAGATTTTATATGCAAGAATAATTTTTCATGCAATTCTAAAAAAAAAATCATCAATTAATAAATGTTAATATATAGATGTGTAATTATCATATTTGTTATTGGTATTATTATTTTATTACTTACCATCACTAAAAACACCTATTGTTTCAAGATGGAAGATATTTTTTAAATTTAAATTTTTAATTTCTAAAAAATCTTTAATTTTTTCAAAATTATTATCTATGTTATTATTATTACTAATTTTGACCAATCCCAAGTATCTGGCAACAGGTGAATATGAAATAGCATAATAACTAATTACAAAGAAAAATTTATCATTGTTGATATCAACTTCTTTAATGATTAATGACCAATAATTAACTTTACTAATTTCATTAAACAAAAATCTTTCTATTGTTTTTCCCAAGCTTTTTTTTACAAGCCCCCAATTTGGACAAAAATCTTCATTGTGATAATTCATATTTGGATAGTAGAGGACGGTTGGAGTTTTATTTGGTTGATCATGTTGAGTTAAAAGTTTAAAAATTTTGTTGTAATTTTCTGGATTTTCGCAAGTTTTGACCAAGTAAGTAATTGATTTAAGTTGACTTATTATTTTGATTCTATTTGGAGAAATTTTAGATGCGTTTCAGTGATCTTTTATTTTTAGGTGAGTCGTTATGTTTTCCTTTCTATAAATTTTGGTTCCAATAGTAAATTTGTTGGTATATTTAGCATTTTTACATAATATACAAAACATTACCAACTCTCCATTTATATTTTTGTATTCTAGCCATTTGTATGTATCCAACCATTCATCATCAGGCGTTTTTCTCGATTTGGACTGTTTTTCATTAGTATTAGCATAAATACTTTCACTTTCCATTGTATTTAAAACAATTAGCTTTTTAAAAAAAATAGCGTGTAACCAATTTTAATTAAATAAGAATTTTTTTTTAAAAAAAAATAGCGCGTAACTAATTGATTAAATTTTAAAAAATAGCGTGTAACTAATTGATTAAAAGAAAAATATTTAATATTAATACAAAGCTTGTTTTATGCTGTTATATTGAGATAAACGAACAACCTTGATAATTTTTGATGTAAAAATTTGATATAATAAATGATTTAATAATT